ATGAGAGATTCTGTTCCAAGCTCAGAAACCAGAAGTCTGATAGAAATTGTGCTGGTAAAGACCAGGCTCAGTAGTGTTCTGCTGGGAGGAAGGAATGCATTGGCTGTTGGACTCCAGAAGGTGTGTGTTATTGTTTGGCACAAAGTTTGGCTGCCTTTTGCTTGTGTCACATACTTTGCCTGAGACTGTGATTTAGGCCAGCAGACCAATTAATCTGTAGAAGAAATGTCAAGGCCGTGTAATGTTGAGGTGGTGGCACGGCTAGAGTTGGAAGTTTCAGCCAGATTTGTGTTGAGAATTAAGAGCAAAGAGTAATGGAGAGTCCTGCAGTGGGTTTCAGTCTCCTGCCATGTTTACAGTGCAGGGTGGGAAAGGAAAGAAAGAGCAGGAGAAAACTGGAGGGGTGCATAGCAGGGATGTGGGATGACCTGTTGCACTCTGGAAACAAAAGTTCACAAAGCACCTAGAATTTCATATTTATTCATTACATCTGGCTGAAGAATAATGAGGAAAGGGCAGTGAGTGTTTCTGGGAACAGTCATGGTGGCTACAGTGGGCTAGGAAGAGCAAGACATTCTTGCAAGGATAATGATAAGGATGAGACAGAGGGGCAATAAGGAAACTAGAGTTTCCCTAGGGACCTTATCTTCTTTAGCAAGTGTTATTTTGGCCTGTGTGACCCACAGCAGTCATGAACTCGAGGGTTTCCCACCGTATCCACAAAAGTGGTGTGGGTAGTTTCCACATTCCAACCAGGCCAAAAGGGCAGGACAAGGGCAAGCATGAACGTCCCCTGGACTCAATTTGTAATTCATGGTCCCCAACCAAAGAGCCCAGCAGAAGGATTTCAAATGCTTTGAATTTGGCCAGAAAGGAAGGTGCAGCAAAGCTGTGGATTGCATAGATAGAGCAGAGGAGGTCTTGATTGCTGAGAAGGAAAAAGAGAATAGAAAAGACAGCCTGACGGTATCACAGGAAGCTGGCATCCACTTTGCAGCCTCAAAATTGCAAAAGTGAATGACTTCTCTTTGAGAAGAGAGTCCAAGACCAGCATGATTCAGCAGCCTAAGTAAGTCTTTCCTTGGGATTCCCTGACACTGGTCCCAATTGCAAAGAGAGGGAATCCTGCCACTGTTCCAGTTGGCAACAGATCCTAGTGTCATCCTCCTGGTGCTGCTTTTCTGTCCATGTAGAATGGAAGAGTTGTGGTGTCAGGAAAGCTTCCACACAGATATAAGAAGAAGTTCTGGGAGGCCAGGCAGTGTGCCCCTGAGAGGGTAGTGTGTGAAGCTATGAGTGTGAAGCTGAAGGTGCAGTGAAGATCCCAGAAGATTGGAGAAGACAGCAATGTGGATCGCAAGGAAATTGCAAGGAGGGAGTAGAGCCAGCCCAAGACAGAAGCTGTGGGAGCTACCACCACCAGATGTGCCATAGGGGCAGAGCCACTGAAGCCCTCTGGAGTTCACAACTTTCCACAGATTGCTGGGAATGTTGGAAGTAGTACTGTGGGATTTAGTATATGCTCTCCTAGATTTTGGTTTTCCTTTGGTCCTATTCCTTTTTATACCCCTAGTTGTCAGTTTTGGAATGAAAATGTCTGAGGTCATTGATTATTGCATGCATTTCACTTTCTTGTGAATTATATAGAGGCTTTTAGGTAAGAATTTGCCTTAAATCTCACAGCAGACTTTGGAGCTAAACTTTTCAGCAATGGTGAAACTGATAGGATTTTGGTAACTATTAGGTATGGACTAAATGTCTTTTCCATAAAGGCATATGCATTAATCTTTGGCGGGGAAGGCATGGAATGTTATGGCTTCTGTCTAGATGTCACCCCAAAGCCTATTGTAGCACTGGGGGGGGGTGGGATTTTGCAGGTGTGGCTGGATCAGGGTGTGTGACACTAGAGTTGATTCATGTTACAATGCTAGGATTCAGGGCACTAGGACAAAGGATGTGAATGCTTCCCACCCGAAGCAGCCTGGATAAGACACAAGGAACAGAAAAGAGCTTGTCTCATCTCTTGTTTCCTTGCTACCTTCTTCCCACCATGGACTGTTTCTCCTCTCTGATAGCTGTCTGCAGTGGCATTCTGCCTTGGGGTCAGCCAGCTGTGCACTGAAACCACTACAAACTTTGAAGTCAATAAATGTTCCTCCTTTAGCTTGTGGGTGTCTATTGTCTTATGTAAGCCATGAGAAAAGTAACTAAGACTCTCCTCCAAAGGCCTCTGTGCTGATGGCTGGAACCCCAGGTGGCACTATGGGGATGTGATCAGGTAGGGCTTCAGGTCATGGGCTGCCCCTGATGGGGATTGGAACATCACACCTCCTTTTGTTTCCCTTTTGCTTTTAGGTCATGAGATGAGCAGTTTGTTCCACCCTGTGCTTCCTGCCACTGCCATCCAGCATGCTCAGCAGAGGCCGAAAGCAACAGTTTGGCTGATCTTGGACTGGAACCTCCAGAACGGTGGACAACGTAAACCTTTCCACTTTAGAAGCTAACATGCTCAGCCATATGGTGACAGTGAGGAAACCAACACACAGGTGAAATGGGGGAGATGGCTAGAGAAGACTACTCAGCTCTTTTACTTCTTGGGGAGTCAGTTTTGCTCCATTTTATTTTTCAAACACAGTGTACATTGCTTCTCAATTTTAAAACATATTGTCATAATAGAAGGTGTATTTTAGTTTTGCCATGAGTTCCAGGCCAGCCTGAACAACAGAGTTAGATCCTGTTTACAAAGCAAAAGCTTATAAAAATAGAAATAATAAAAAAGAAAAGTCAGAAAACACGGCAAATGCCTTTATCAGACAGTATTAATTATAGCTTTTTCTAAACTTATCAGGAAAAGTAGAACAAAAACAGTCCTCAGAAGAGGTATGATTAGCGGCTTGGTGGTTCTGGTTTTCTCTCACCTTGTTCAGCACATACTTGGGCTTAGGGGGCCAGCAGGTGCTATCAATGTTCATAGGGGACTCTTGTGTATGAGAACCTGAGAGCCCTGGCAGAGCCATCGTGTGCCATCTTGGGGCACATTTTGGGCCCTGATTTTGTGAGCCCGCCTTATCTTGAACTTCACTGGCTAAAGCTGCATCCCTCTCGAGCCTGGACTTTCTATCCCTGCCTGTTCTGCCCACTACAATGCAGTTACCTTCCCGAGGCCCAGCCTCTGAACGCTGAGGCTTTTGAGGGACATTCAAGAACTAAATCACAGCACTCCTGGTTTTCTCAGTCTTTATCAATCTCGCTAACTATATTTGGGACTTCCCAACCATACTAATCCACTAGTGAACAAACTTTTGGCATTGGCAAGATTCTCCAGTGCACGCCTTTTTCCTATGCCATTCAATTTTCTTTTAACATTTTCATTCCTTGTCCTTGAAGAGTTTATTTTGCTGTTATTCTTCTTACATGTAAAGGTGGTTGAAGCAGAAATAAATATTCTATTCTTTTTCTTTTCTAATACATGTGCTGATGGTCCTGTGTTTCTCTCCAAACAGTATAGTGGGTACATAGAACAAAAACATGGTGCGTTTTCTTTAACATTTGGTTCAAAGTATTTTCTCATTTCCACTGTATTTTTCATTTGAAATGTGGGTTCTTTAGAAGTGTTCCTTTAAAGGTAAATCACACATTAATCATATTGTGGCTCTCATTTTGTCGTATTTTCTAGCTCAATTACACTGTGGTCAGAAAACCTTCTCTCTCTACCATAACTTTGAATATTATTGCTACTTGTTTCATGGCAAGTCTTAAAAGTGATTCTTTTTTTTTTTTCCATTTGAGACAGAGTCTTGCCATGCAGATGAGGCTGGTCTTGCACTGTCTTTGAAACCCAGTCTGGCTTTGAACTTGCCACAGTTCCCCTGCCTTAGTCTCCCAGGTGGTGAGATTACAAATTTGCCTCACAAAGCCCAAGTAGAATTTCATTTGCATAAATGCCACGCATGGTTGCTAAACTAAGGTATAATTTGTGTTGAAGAGTAGACAGTATACATTTCAAGGCTACAGTTCTACACATTTTGACAAATACCTACACCACAGTTCCTGCGAAGTTCTAGAAAATCCTAATCAGCCCAGAAATTTCCCTCATAGCCCTTCTCAGCAGTTTTTATAACTACTCGCCCCACCTGCACTCATCCTAGCAACTAGGCAACACTAGTTTGTCTTGCCTATTCTAGAATTTCATATGAATGCAATTGTACAGTGGGTACTATATTGTGTCTGGTTCGTTCAACAAAATGGGGCAGAAACTGGAAACTAATGAAGATGTGATGGAGAGATCAGGATGTGGCTCTGTTCTGCGTGGGGCAGCGAGGAGAGATGGGGTTTGGGGACATTGTGTGTGGTGAGATGATTCCACACTGGAAGCAGGGAGGTGACCTTGTGGCACCTGGGGAGAGCACAGGGCAGTGCAGGTGCTAAGACCTGTGGTGGAGAGTGCTTGGAGCTGTGAGGGCAGAAAGGGCTGGTTGGCTGGAGGAGGTGTCAAGGGACAGGCCTGGGCCAAGGATTCTCTCCTGCAGGCCCTCAGCATGGCCATTGGAGTACACTTTTCCTCTGCTGAGCTGGAGCTGTGGCTGGTGCAGGGTCTGACTCAGAGCCCAGAGCTGTCCTCTAGTGCTGGTTCATGGATCAGACTGTGGGGTCCTGGGGCCATGAGGGGCTGAGATGGGCTATCCTGCTGTGTTAGGGTCCTGTAGGTGCTCCCCCCACTGACCTGTGTGAGGCCCTGTGCTCCTGACCTCTGCCCTCTGTGCAGGAACTGAGCTCTGCCCTGCCTTCCCCTGACTATTATGCAAGCCACTCTCCTCTTTAGGGATCCCTGCATGCTGGAGTCCCTAGGTGGGGAGCTGGCCTCATAGGCAGAACACAGGCCCACTGGACTATCCCATGCTGTCTCTTTCCAGGGTAACTCTGGGGTGCACTGGTCTACAGTGATGTTCTCTAAGGACTAGCAACACGGGGGCACCCCTCCTCTGGCCTCTACAGTGCACCTGCAATCTTTACTAAAATGAAGTCCTGCATGAATTGGTTCAGGGACACTATGGCCGTGAACTCCTGAATCCGTGGCCTGCCTGCTGTCACCATTAACATTGAGTAGATGCCAATTCTGGTGCCATTAGTCTAGGTGGATGGGAGTAGACAGGAAAGGCCATCATACCCCTCAGAAATGTTAGAGAACCCCACCCTCTTGATCTAGGTCCTGAAGTTCAGGTCAGAGTAGACAGGGGCACAATAGAAAGCCACAAGTATCGAGCAGTTCTTCTCAGCTTTGAGTAGTGGTGTCCTCTTTAGGGGACATTAGGCAATAAAGAGAGAAAGGTTTATTGCCTAAATCACACAGATATCCTCCCGATTCCACAAGCTTCCAGGAGGACACACAGAGGGAATGAAATGGCTGCAGAATGTCTGGGACAGACATGCAGCTAGGCTGGGTCAGTGGGGTCCATAGAGAATGACATGTGGGAGATGCGGTCCTAGAGCACTAAGCAGGAGCTGGAAGCCCAATCCTTCATCACTCAACTGTTGTGGCCCCTACACCAAGCCCTTGTGAGAATTGTGAACACAGAATGCAATAGACAACTTAACACTGCATTCTCAGGCATTGGAGTAGGTTTCTGAGAGACTGACAAATGCCCAGAGACAGCCTGTGAAAGGTAAGATTTATTATGACAATGAAAGGAAAGGATAGGAGTTAATTGCAAGTTTCTATGGTTCACAAGTAGCAGGTGTGTGTCCAGTAGCATTTGTCTGACTTACCTTTCTCTTGTTGCTGAGACAGAATACCTGATGCCCAGAATGAAGGAAGAAAAGATATATTTAGCTCCGTTTGTAGAGGTTTCAGTTGATACTTGGCTGGCTCCTAGGCAGAGTATTACATGGCAGAGGGCAAGAGTTTACATCTAGGGGAACTCTGGCTCCTAGTTTACATCTCTGGCTCCTAGTTACACAAAAAGGGGAGCAAGAGCAAGCCTCTTTCCCTCCCTTATATTGTAAGCAGGCTCCCCGTGCCAGGGTGGGTGCAGCACTCACCTCCATCATCCTGATAGGGCAGGAGAGACTCCATTTACTGTTTTTAATTCCATGGTAAGAGAAGTCACTTAAGTTCACTTATGCTGTAGTTGACCCCCACTTTTCACCTCTGTGCTTTGGGTAGTAATCAACCTATTTGAAGGAGAGCAGAGTCATGAAATAAAAGCAGAATAAACAGGACAAATTAGGATGTGGGCTAAGAGTTAAACTGCCATAGTCATCTGGAATTTGGCTCTCTGACCTTCTGGGAGATGTAAACTTTGTGATAATTATGACATTCTTGTAAGATTCCTGTAAACGAGGCAATGGTTTGTATGGAAAACTAAAATGTACTTCAACTGATGGTGATACCCAGATCAGGGTGGACATCTTCTCTGGCTCCTAGTTACACTGTCTGTCAGCTGGCTCAAATGAAGCTTTGTTCATTCAGGCCTTACCAGTTTTTTAATGAATGCCTTTCTCCATGAACTCACTTGTCATATCAGTCCCAGTTTGGGACCATAAAGCAACCACAAACACTAGAAGCCTGCCCCTTGACTGCATGACACTTTGGGGGAACATCTAGACACAGCCCATAAGAGCATTGCAAAGCAAAAGTCCTGTGAGGAGTGTGTACTCAAAGCAGCACCTACAGGCAAAATCCCCTGGCTGGGATGCATATTAATGAGGCATAACCAAGCAAGCCCAGCTGGGCGAGCAGTCAACAATAGCTCTACTTGGAAAGGCTCTTTAGGGTGTGCATACTGAGCGACAGCACTGCTGACAAATCCCACAGGAGGTGCGCAGTGCCACGGCAGATGTGGACGCACTCAGGAAGATTCCTGAATGAGGCCAACTCTGCAACAGCATCACTCAGTCCATGAGTGGTGTGCTCTTGCTCACAGTGTCTCCCATTTAACCTTCACCAGAGACTCTGGTCTCTGCCTATCACAGTCCCTTGACTTAGCCAGAGTATGGGAACACAAAAGGGCCATTTCAGGAAGGGACGTGGTACCCAGTGCCCCAGCCTTCCACAGGGAGATACAAACTGAGGAAAACTGGATGCCCACAATAATCATGGAGGAAGCACACAGTCGGGGGAAAGATGTGCATCAAACATACTGGAAAGGCTGTCTTTGGGGATAGAGAAAAGAGCAGATTATGAGGAGGGAAGGGAATAAATGAGCTATTGGTGAGGTTGTGAGTCAATGAATGAACAAATGCATATAAATACAATAGAGGGAGCTGTCCTAAGCTGCAGATCTGAGTTGTGCAAAGGAGGAGAGTCCACTCGGTGCTCTGCCCATGAAGACCAGAGAGAGAAGGAAAAGCTGCACAGGCCACCGCACAGTAACACCCGCCAGAGACAGTGAGAGCCCAGCTGGACGGACAGTGCAGGCCGCTAAAGCCAGAGAGCACAGGAAGGAGCAGAAGGGTGTGGGAGAGTGTGAGGGGAGACCAGCCCTCTGAGGGCTGCTGGAAACTTGAATCCCCGGGAACTCTCAAGGGCAGAGGCAGGGGTAGGGCATGGTCTGGGGGTCTGTGGGATTCTCATCTTGGGGTCATGCCTTCACCAGTCATCTGATTGTGCCTTGGTCTGATTTAAATAGACACTCTGTCTTGGAAAGGTTCTGCTCTGCTGGCCATGCCCCTGTCAGCGCTTAGAGGTACAGTTGTGTACCCAAGGCTGTTGGTTGCTACTGCTGCTCATCAAGGAAAACAACCACTCTGGTTACAGGCAATGCTGGCTGCCTCTGGTCAATGTCAGCCAATGCTCTTGGTCACCAATCTTTGTCACCTAATATCTGCCACCTATGTCTGTCATTGGTCTTCCTTAGCTGCTGGTCTTGCAGCTTTTCTGGGCTAATAGACACAAGCATTTATAGCTCTTTTATTTTTTAATTTAATTTAATTTTTATATTTTGGTACAGGGAATCAAACTCGTGACCTTGTGCTTGCTAGTCTGATGCTGAGCTATATCCCCAGCCCTCGTTTATAGCTTTTTTAAAGCAAGCCTTTTGTCCACAATTGTTGGGGTAAGAATCCTGAGTGCATTGACAGGATGGCCAGGGCAGGCTTTATGTGTAGAAGACCTGTCCTGCAGCACCACAGGTTCAGGGCAGAAAAAGGAGCCCTCCAAATGAACCTCAGAAGTGAGAGGCCAGTGCTACTGAAATAGCTGCACCAGGCTTGTGATTGGTCCAAATGTGGGCCTGCTGTTTGGTTGAAATTGAGGGCTATGATTGGTCCAGATTAGATTCAGCTGATTTCTGTGAATTCGAGCCTATCAATTTGTCCAAATTGAGGTTGGTGACTGGCCCAAATTTAGGCTCATTAATTGGTCCAAACTGGTCCACATTCAAGTCACTGATCTGAGAACACTGACTGGTTCCATTTCAGTTTTGCTGCTAGGTTTAATATCAAGCCTAATATAGTCAGGGTAAATACCTGTGAGACTGCTGCAGGGCATGCACAATCATTGCAGCTGTGATGGTGAAATTCCATGGTACATCAAGGGCAGATGCTGCAGCTGAGTTGACAGCTGCCGTATTCCCACAAGTATGGCCAGGCCAATACTGTTCAACATGCAGGAGGGCTATCTGTGTCCTCAACTTATTGAGGACGGTGTACAATGGGCCTGAGCCCTTCCTGATCCCTTCCACACGTGAGGTGGTTTCCTGACCACTTCTTCAGAGGTGGTAGCAGCATCTGGGAAGGTGGGAGTGGGAGAATGGCACTGTGGGGGTGACAACCAAGTGGCAGCTTGTGTCGGGCTGGCCCACAGAGCATGTGTGAAGTAACCATAGAGTTGAGAGCAGGACACAGAGGCAGGCTGTCCTAGTCAGCCCAGAGGGGACCAAGGGGGATCAAAAGGAAACAAGTGGGTGTGGCAGGACAACTCTCGACCAGGCCCATGTCTGGTGATGAGGGGAAAAAGGGGAGAGGCAGGGACTTCTCCATTCTCTGACTGCTCCAGAATTGGGCACCTATACAAGCACCGGTATGGCTACTCCAGGGAGTCTGGATGGAAGCCTGCTGCATTATAGCACCCTGCCTCTGTGTTCAAGTCCCCCGTGTGGGAAAGCAAGGCTGAACACGTTCCTGAGGATGCCCAAGCCCACTGGAGGCATGATGTGCAACTCTCATGTCCTGTGTGGCCCGCCCCAGCCTAGGTCTCAGCCGGCCTCCTTGAGCTCTGCCTCATTCCTCACTCTCCCTGCCTCAGTTGCTTCCCCTCTCCGTTCCTCTTTGCTGAGCTCGGCCATACCCTGTGCAGGACGTCTACGTGTCTGCTGCTGCCTGTGCCTGTCTCTCTCCCCTCTGCCTCCCTCACTAGCTGTTTTTCTGCTACTCAGTCCTTGGCCCTCACTTTTCAAACGTGGCTGGAATGCTCCTCCTGTCTCTCCCTCCAACCTGCTGCTGGACTTTTCGTCTCATCTCTGTCCCCACAGTCCCAGGAATGAGCATCCTGTCACACAGCTCATCCTGCTCTGGGGCGACCTGGGGAGCAAAGAGAGGAGAAAGGAAAGTATGGGCATTGATTACATCAGAATCTCCAAATGTATTATCTTCCTTACTCAGTGCAAGGGCATTATGATGCCCTGGCTCCCTTTCCCACAGCCAAGCACTTGGATTTTTCTGTTTGACATTGCAGAAATTGATGTGTGAGTGTGGACATCGTGTGCACGGATGTCTGTGCAATGGTGAAAGTGCCATTCTGATGTGTATTCATTTTTTTTTTTTTTTACAAAGAAGCGAACTCAGGACCCTGCTCTTGCCAGGCAGGCGCTTGTGCCACTGCTTTGTATTCCTTGCCAAATATGTATTCATTTGTGCTAGGAGATCTTACATTTTTTATTTTGCATAGTTTTAAGTTTTTGACATGTGTCTCTTTCTCAACCACGTTTCCAGCTCAGTAAATTTTTACTGGTATATGTTTGCAATGGAAATAATTACATTTGATTTATGGAGTTGGCACATGTGCGTGTGTGTGTGTGTGTGTGTGTGTGTGTGTGTGTGTGTAATTTTACACGTTCTTTCCCTTTCTCTCCCCTGACCCTCATTTGTTTCCCCATCTCCCCATATTGTCCACTATCTCTCCTTTATCATCACCTTAGCAGTTAGTGTTTTAGCCATATCCTAAGTCCTTTTATTGTTTAAAAATAACACTTTGGGAAATACTTTCATATTCACTATCCCTGCACGATTTGTTTTGCATACTGCATGTCCCTGCTCTGTTTGGACTTGCCTAACACATCTCTGTGAGGACAGTTCTAATTCTTTCAAGTTTTTGGTTCTATTTTGCCATCAGTTCTTCTCCCTCTAGCACAACTTGTGCTGTCTCTCCTCCTTTTCCTCATGTCTGCATTCCTCTGATCTGACCCAGCTTACACTTTCAGGTCACCTCTACCTCGTGCTACCTTCAGCTTCCTCAACCACGATAACTATGTGCCAGTGGTTCAACCCTAGTTTCTCAGTTATTCAGGTGAGGTTGGGAGTGAGAAGTGTATGTTCTATGTGCCGTGGTACCTGAAGCATCATTGCAGCCATTCTGAATTCCACAACTTCAGTCACAGAACTCGTCCCTGGGCAGCTGTTTGCCATGGTAATGAAGGGCAAGTACATTGGTTTCCCTACCTTTAGCAGATGTCCCAGGATCACAAGGATGTCACAACATCTTAAAACCAGTAACCCCATTTGACACTTGAAAATTTCACTTTCAGTCTTAATAAAATTCAACAAGAAAGGATGCAGATATCATCTAAATATATTTGTAAAGCATATTCAGTGAATTGCAATAGCTGTATATGATAGATGGAGCCTAAGCACAGGTTTGGAAGATGGTGTTGGTTTCAAGGTCCCAATATCATCTGTGATTATGTGGTCTGGATAACTTCGTTTATCCACTCTTTGAATTTGCAGAGGTTGGTGAAGACGCTTGGAACTCCAGGTTCACCACAGGGTTTGAATCCCCAGGACACAAGGCCCTGCAGAACCCCACCACAGACCAGGGGGCCTCCAGAGTCTGACTGTTGAGGGAAGACAAGAACAAGTTAGGGCAGGTGGAGAGGAGGATGGAGGGAGACACACACAGGAAGCCAGAAGCACAAAGAGGCAAAGGCAGAGGGAGACAGCAGGGCAGAAATACTGCTGTAGGAGCTGGAGGGCAGCAGTGAGAGCTGGAGACAGAAGCAGGGGAGACAGAGCCAGCAGGCCCCAGAGACAGATGTGGTTCAGTAGGCAGAGGTGATGGGGAGACAGACTGAGAACATGATGAGGAACCAAGACAGTGTAAACACAGAGAATGAAGGGCCAAAATGGAGGGATCTGCCATTAAAACACCACGCACTCAAACCATAGCTTGTAGGCAGGCAGGGACAGTCCTGCCTCTCCACCAGCAGCTCTCCCTCCCAGGCCTTGGAAAGTTCCCCTGAGGAGTTCCACCCCCGCCTGCATCTCTTTTTCCATCCTTGGCTGAGGGTGAATTGGAGGTTGAGACTGGGCATGGACTTGGGGGCTTGGGAGCTGCTGGAGTTGAGGATGGAGGTGTGGGAGGCAGTGGGGCTGGGGATCCTCAATTTAGTCAACTGGTCTGTTCTTACAGCTGCGTTCCTTCTCCCTGGACCCTCCTGGTGTCCCTCCCAGGCATCTGTCCATCCCTCCTCTCAACATCATGACTCTGAGTCTCTCTGCCGGCTCCTTACTTCTCTCTCATTCTACTTGCCTGTCTCTGTGGCTGCTTTACCCTGTGTCTCCTTGTTTCCCTCTCACCCTTTCAGTTCCTTTCTCTTTGCACCTCTTTCTCTTTGCACCTTTCTCTCCCCGTGGCCCTCTCAGTTTCCCTGTTTCCTGCATGACCTTGGGACCCTATGGGGTTTTACACCCCATATCCATCCTAAACCCCTGCTTCCCTGTCCCAGTCTCTTACAAGGCAAACATCTTGGTAGCCCTCACCACCAGCACAGAACATACTGTCGTCGTAGTATGACTCAAGCTCGAATCTGCAAATTTTCTCTGAAACCACTGGAATAATTGCACACTGCAGATAATAAGGGTAGTCGTAGCCTGAAAGAAAGGTCACAGGGTCAAAAACACTCCTTCACAGAGACATCACAGGTATCCATGAGTCCAGAGACAGGACAACTAAAACTCACCATTCAACAGCTGACCCCAGCCAGAGGTCCGGCACCTGGTTCCAGATGTCGGACATCGGGACGCGATGGGGATGGTCTTGATGGTGTCTGATTCCACAACTGGTGTGTTCAACTTGATGAGCATGAGGTCACTATCTCTCGAAGAGTTGAGATGGTCTGGGTGCTGCACGGAAAAACATGCCTGGATAATCTGGCTGCCTGGTTCAAACCAATCATAAAGTCCGTGTAGGCCCAGCACAATGGTGTAGGATCTGAGGGTGATGAGATAGTCAGTACCACAATAACTACATCCTTTCCAGAAGCCCAAACTCTGATGCAGGCCCAAATCCAATCCTACCCTCAGCCCCCAGCTCATCCTCAACCTCAGTCCCATCCCCAGTGCCATTCCCTCACTCTACCCTGCCCAGGTCCGTCCCTGGTACGAGTCTCATCTCCAGTTGGACAACTTCCAAATCCCATATCAATACCCACCCCTGAATAGTCCGAGAACCTGATTATTAGGGGTGGGGCAAGAAGAACATTGTCTAATGTGTTAACTGAGGGAACCACTAACGTCGTGGCTCAGTATACTATTTTTAAATTCAAAAGTAATGCAAGACGCCCAAGATGCAGAACATATCAGAAATTGAAGAGAGACAGCATTTGTGGTGCACCTCGCCCTGGCCCCACACCTCAGGACCCTGTTTATTTCAAATGTGGGCATTTTGTTCATCACGGGTGTTTGTATTAGTATTAATTTATTTGAAATAACACATTGGGGTATTTCTCCTGATAGGTGAGCTTTTGCCTCGTCTCTCCCTATACCCTATCCTGCAGCCACGTGCATATCTCGGTCCCCATCCACCTGGCTCTGTCTTCACCTGTCTCCCTCGCCTTTCCCCAGGCCCCTTACACCCGGTGACAAGAGATTCCTTGTCCACAGCACCTGGATCCTAGAGGCTGAACTGAGATCAAAGCCTGCCTCTCTTAAGCCATCTGTTCTGAATTTTCTCATTCGGGTCAAACCCAGGATGCTGTGTGGTTTCTCTTCCCACATGTGGGATCCTTCAGACCCAGCAAAGAGATGTGAATACTCCTCCAGCCTGAGGAAGTGGATCTCCCAGCCAGGCCTCCCCTTTGAATGTACCTCCAGCCTTGCTCCAGGACTAGTGTTTTAAAGTCTCAGTCATGGCCAAGTCCAGTCCCTGGGGCTGGGGCTCACTAACGGACGCAAACAGCTCTGCAGTGCTGGAAGAGCACCATGGGTCAAGACTCGACCCTCTCTGCTCAAACCTAGCCTGTGCCCTGATACTAACTGCAGTGCAATGTCAGACCCTAAAGCTTGCCTACAGTGCCCCGCCCAATGGAAGACAGGCTCCACCCCTCCCAGTCCAGTGCACTGCCCCCACCCCCGCAGTGACCTCTACTGCATTTGCTCACGGTCTCCAGCAGTGTGCAGCTGACAGCACCCACTGCGGATGCACCAGAACTCCAGCACAGTATTGGGTATAATTGTCAAACAGTGCGGCCATCCAGGGCTGGGAGTGTGGATTGCAAGGGAAGCCATCTGCGATGCGTTTCCTGATCCGGAGAGGTACATCTGGGAAGTGATTGCCGGTTCCTTTGGGAGGAATCCTTGCTTCTGCAGCAGGGTGAGCACACAGTGGAGGCAGTGGATGGGTGGATGGGATCCGGTAATGGATTCAGTAGTGTAGCCAGTAGGTTTAGGAAGGCCATGGTTATACCAGGAGGGCATAGAAGGGGCAAGGTCTGAGGTTTTGCCTCCAGGACTCATGCGGACGGTTCCGAGGGTGGAGCCCTGCTCTGAGTCTGAAGCTTCACACTCTGCTCCACCTCCCTAGTGGCATAGACCCAGTGTTACCACAAAAAAAAGCCATTCCCCAGGAGGAGCCTCTGTGCAAGGAAGAGAACAGAGGCAAACAAGTGTGGGATTCTGTCTGCTGGATATGCAGAGTGGACATCCAGGCACAAAGAACAGTCCACTGGGGATCACTTCTTACCCTGGACCGCAGCCCACTGCAGGGCCACCTTCTCCAGGGGCTCAGGAGGGGTGACCTCCACAGGGAAGGAAGCAGCTCTCACACTGCTCTGCCAGCTGGGGCAGAGAACCCATGCACAGTGCTGTCCCTGTGCTAATTACAGCTGACATCTGCACACTCACCTATAGGCCAGAGTCTGGGGAGGATGGGCCTTTATACTGTAGTCTCTAACCAGCTTTCAGATTACTGTGGGAGGTGATGTTATTGAGGAACAGAGACATTAGGGACTTTGTCCAGATAAGAAGTAGCAGAACTCCGGTTTGAATCCAATTGCTGTCTTGCCACAAGCTGTGTTCCTACACTAGTGTGATGCAGACCCTCATGTGATCCATGGGCAGGGCAGGATTACACATTTTGGGGTGCACACAAGCTAGCACACACCCAGAACTGAGGTACCTGTGGCCGTGTGGATGATGTATCCCAGGAAACAGAGCCAGAGGATTTCTGCTGTGGTCCCCATGTCCGCACCTGCGGGGAAGGTGACCTGGTGACTCTGGGGCCTCACACCCCATTGCGGGAGCAGTTAGACAGGATCGTTCGTATTCAGGCTGCACTCTGAGACCCTACCCCAGGAACAGTAACATAGGGCAGAGTTTCTCACCCTCTCCCTTGATGATATTTACCCATGATCTGCGGGGAATGGACCCAGGACACCCTCAGGCCCAGAGTGCCACGGAGCCATCCCTCTGCCTGCTGATGACTGGTGGCTCATGAGCTTTTCTGCTAAGCCCTGCCCCGTGTAATGCAGGGTGTTTTACACCCCATGCCAGCTGCTGTCCCCCTCCCCAGAAGGGGCAACCAAAAGGCCCATTCTTCATCCAGGTCCTGGGAGAAGACAGTGTGAGCTCTGCCTGTGAGGACAGAGGAGGCAGGGAGACTGAGGAATGAGTGGCAGTTAGGGATGGAGACAGAGATGCCAAGACTGAGGCTGAACCCTGGAGCAGGGAAGATGGGGCCCAGGTACAGAAGTCTCAGGGTCATGGAGCTGAAGGAGACTGAGATGGAAATCAAGGTGCTCTCAGCGCAGTTTCAGGCACAGCCCTGTGGCAGGCATCTCACTAACAGGAGACACTTGGTGACTCAGTTTCACAGCCATCTCAAGGGCCAGGTCCTGATATTATCCCCATACCAGGGAGGGTGCAGACACAGACAGGCTGAGTAACCAGTGGAGAGGGCACTAGAGTCTGTGCTCTTAAAACCTCACTGGGACCGCGCCCGGTGGCACCGCCTGTAATCCCAGTGCTCTGGAGGCAGGAGGATCTCAAAGCCCTCGCTGTACACTGAGTCAAAGAGATGCTCTAAGCGGGAGAAGGAGACACACACCCGGCAGGACAGAGACAAGAAAGAGGCAGGAACTCAAAGGGCGGGAAGCACAGAGCAAGCCTTGCGCTGGGAGAATGCAGGGTTGTTCACCTGGCTTCAGCTCCTGTGGTTCAGGGCTCGGCTGTCTTTTGTGGAGGTGTGATCTGTGGGCTGCTGACTCTCAGAGCCTTCGTCAGTCTTATAAGGATCGGGATGGGGGCTGGCCTGCCCTGGGGCTGCTGGAACATTAGAGCCTGAAGGCAGAAATATTAGAGTCCTGGTACAGTGCCCCTGCCTGTCCTGCTTCTAATGGGATCAGGGCACAGGGAGCAGGGCTCTGGGCTGTGAGGAAGGAGAGAAGTGTGGTGTCGGGCAGTGAAAGAAGTGACTGAAGTGACTGAGTCTGGCCAATCTCTCATCCTATCTGTCTCTCAATTCTGATGCCTCCAATGCACTGCTCTTTGCTCGTATTAGTGTCTTGTCTCATAGACTTTCTGCTTTGGACTCCTTGCTTTTGAAACTCTCCTGTATATTAAATCTACATTAAATGAAGCAAATGTACATGAAATCAAGACAATCTGTGTCTCTGTGTGTGTGGTCCTGGAGATTCACTCCAGCACTGTCTTACTGAGCTCCATCCCAAAGCATCTTTTTAAAGTTTTATTTTGAGGTAGAGTCACGTTACTTTCTCAAGTTGCTCACGGTGGGCTCAAACTTGAGATCCTCCTGCCTCAGCTTCCCAGAAGGCTGGGCTTACAGGTGTGGAGCACCACAGTCAGTGTATTTTTCTGTCCTAGGCATGTACCAGGCCTGATGTGGCACACCCTACCCCAATTTCTGCCACAACAAATCCCAAATTTTTGAACACTCCAGGCAGGCTTGTACCCACCTCAGCTTGTGAGCTAGCTATTCCTTTTGCCTGATGTTGCCCTGAGTCATTTTCTTTCTCCTCTAAAACTATGTGCAAGTGTTCAGGGCTCCCAGCGGCAGCCATGTCTTGCACAGCCCAGCCCCTCCTCAGTTCCATTCAGCTCAACTTAGCCCCAGCTCAGTGCCGAGCTGGCAGGGGACCGCGGTGTGAAGGGTGTGACCCAGATCCCGCAGGCTGAGGGCTCAGGGCCTCAACACCGGCCCAGCCTGGCAGGCTGACTTGAAGCCCCCATTGTCCCCTGCCCTTCTGACCTGCCAGCCATAAATCTATTTCTCCATCCCAGGCCCAGGCATCTGCTAGCCTGGCTCACAGAACTTGGGGAGACCCTGGCACTTTCTGGTGTATTATTTAATAAAGGGCAGGTGAAAAGGTGCAACTGAGAGCCAGTGATGAGGTCCGGAGTACATGAGGAGGGTTTCCACAGGTTGCAGCCACTGTCCCCACAGCGTTGGGCTGGGTCTTTCACTTCCTGGGCACCCCAAGTGTTTTTGAGGTCCCATCACCTGGACATGATTGGCTCCTGACTCCATCTGCAGCCCTGTCCCCCAGAGGACAGGGAAGGGCCAGGATCTTTGCCATGGTCCATCTTGCTATGTTCCCTGAGAATCTCCTCATCGTTCAAATATGCTCCTGTTGTCACTGCTCAGTGTGGGGACTTGCTTTAGAGATAATGGGACAGCCTGAGATGACAGGCACCAGCGTTACTTGCAAGCTGTGAGGAGAGAAGAAAATTCTTTTCTTATTTCTCCCTTGCATATCTTCCCTTTGTTTAGGGCATCACATGGTCTAGTATTTATGTAGTTGATGACCTTTATTATCATAACAACCACATGAATGTATGTGCAAGGATTTTAGTCATGAGTGAGAGAAGATGGTCAGGACATTAGCTTGAGGCATAGGCAAACATCAAGTGTATCCTCTGACAAGGAGAGTAGGAGGAGTCAGGACAGAGGCTTCCATTGGAGAAAGGGAAGTACTGAGGCCTGAAGATCTGGGTCATCCTGGCACATGGGGGTACTAAGGGCTGGGGTCCTGCTGATCCTGATCTCAATCATGGCTTCTTCAGTCGGGGAGAGGGACTGTGACCTGAGGGTCGGGTTGATGTGCATGTTGTGACTGTGTTCTGTTGGGGTGGTCCCAGTCAGAGGAGGCTGTTAAACAAGGAACCCTTAACTTTAGGGGCCTGGAGATTTTCTCAGCATAGTTGACGTCCTGGAAAATGTCTTATCCTGGTGTCCTAAGCCTTCAAGTGTTATAAGCTAAGCTGGGTAGATTTAGCACTAAGGAACTTTGCTGAGTCAGCTTTTTGACAGCTGTGCCCTGACTGAGGGTCGTGGCTCTATGCACAGGTGAGAAGGGCATGACTCAGAGTCTCACAAAGCAAAGGTCTAGCTTTGTCTTCCTTTTTTGTACCCGTTATGCTTTTGGAGGACCGAGTGAGGAGTCATTCATTTTAGTAAAAGCCACTCTGAGGTCCTCGACTGTCCCTGAAGAAACCTCAGATCACGCTTTTGATGAGTCAGAGATTAAGGGCTGAGGTGTTTGTTTGTCCCTGGTCCCTGGGGTCTCCATGTTTCACTCTTTCTGCTTCCCAAGTATCTCCACAAATCCCCCATAGTGTCTTCTTCTCTCTCCCTCCCTCTCTCTCTCTCTCTCTTTCTCTCTCTCTGCAATTTCTTCTGAAACATCCTCCAATTTCACTGATATTCTCTTCAGGTTTGTCCATGTGTCTTTTTGCTTTTTGAGAGTTTAAAACCATCTTTGTGCAAGGATATTTTTAATTTTAAAGGTAATGTTTTCTCTTTTATTTAGATTTTCTGTTCATTCCTGAAAGCATCTTGTGAATTCTAGGTCAAATTTCTTCACACTCCTCTAATTCTCTCTCTTTGTTTTCTCTCACTCTGGTTTTGCCAATCACGATGCACCCAAAACCATGCAACTTTGTATGTGTGATGAATCGTTTGTCCATTTTCTGTCTTTAACAGTTAGTCACCTTAGCTGTGGTTTATTCCGAATACAATAGTTCCTCTCTTGACCATTTTAAAGCCCAAATCTTCCAATTATTCTGCTCACATGCAGCTCTGATGATTTTTCTGCTCCCGCATGCACTCACTTTTGGCTTTCTGGCAGTGTGCACACCTGTATTGGGATTGTAAATGAGTTTCTTCTGAAGATATGTACTTCTTATTTTGTTCAGAATGCATGGCTGCCCTGGAATTATAGTGCCCCAGGCCAGCTCCATGCAGGAATCCCAGGCTGTCCCATGCTGCCTTCACTCCGGCCCCAGCTCCTCTTCCTGGATGGATGCACTATCCTGGCTGATCTCCCTCCATTTCTTAGCCTTGTGCTTCAGCCTCCTTGAAAATTTCCCCTGTGTTTCTGTGATGGTCTTTCCTAGACATCAGGTTGCATGATCTAGATCCTGCACTGCAAGTTCTTCATTCAGACCACAGACTCCAGACTCAGGGTTTTTTGGTCAGCCTGGAGACTTGGAAGCCCAGGTTGAGAGACTCAGGCTGTAGGCTCCTGATGCCCCAGTCTGGACTCCAAGCTGCAGCCTCAAAAATCCAGCCCCAGAGTGCATGCTGCAGATTTCATCTTGAAAACCCAACACTAAGCGAGAGAGTGGAGGAGGCTCCTGGGATCCACATGATGTGGTCAGAACACCCTCAGATAGATAACAACACTCTGGACATGCCTTCCTCTTGATGTCACCTACATGTGTCACAGAGATGTGGGCAATGTTTATGATAGAGAAAATCTGTATTTTTTGTTTGCATATTTATATGTATAGAAGTTATGTGACTATGTTAACACTGCTATTTAACATTTCTATAGCCTCATTCTGTTAAAAATTTTGATAGTATACATACTACAGTATTTACTACCAGTGATGTTTATTATGTTCACGATGTGGTACAACTATCGTCATTGTTCATTTCATGAATGTTTACTCACCCTGAAAGAAACCCCATTCAGATCAGTAGTCGCACCCCATTCTCCCCTCCTCCCAGTGCCAAGAAATCATGAATCTGCTGTCTCCATGGATTTGTCTATTCTGGATAGTCCTTATCAATGGAATCTACAACATGTGGCTTTTCATGCATGAATTTTTTCACTTAACACCATGTGTTCAAGGTTGACCTGTATTCAGTGTTTCATTCCTTTTTATGAATGTTACTGAATATTCCATTGTATGATGAAGTCACAATTTTTGATTTAATTTCCTGGTTTGGGCTGTGGGGTCATTTCAGTGTTATATGGAAAAGACTCCCATGAACATTACATGTATATATTCTATGTAGGCTAAGCCTTATAGCACATGCATCATATATATGGCATATAAGTTACTTTATTTTCATAAATACTCAAGAGTGTGATTTCTGGGCAATGGAGACCCTTATCTTCCTTATTTCCAATTGTCAGCCTGGGAGATGCACCCTAGGTGACATCCAACATGTCTCCACTCCTTGCCTCTCTTGTTCAGGTCTTTTATGCACTTGACTCTTGCAGTAGTATCAGGAGTATTCTACCAGCCCAGCATCATGTATTTCTGTATGAATGTGCAATTTTCCAATAACTTTTATTTGCCATGCAAGGAAGCATTAGGTGGCTGATGCAGAGAGTCAAGGGCTACTTAAATAGCTGCAGCAGGTCTGTGATTGGTCCAAATCTAGCACTACTGATTGGTTGAAATTGAGAGCTTTATTGGTCCAGATTTGATCCAGCTGATTGCTGTGAATTTAAACCTACCTATTTCTCCAAATTGAGGCCCATGGTTGGCCCATATTTGGGCTTGTTGATTGGTCCAAATCGGGCCTCATTCAAGTCTCTGATCTGAGAACAGGTACTGGTCCCAATTCAGTTTTACTGCTAAGTTTACATTCAAGGTTAAGGTGGTCAGATTAGATAGCTGCTGCACTGGTGCACGGCATGCACAGTTTTTGCAGCTGTCATGGTGGCAGTTCCAGGTTACATCAAGGCCGGATGCTGCAGCTGGGTACAGAGCTGCCATATCTCCATAAGTATGGCCAAGCCAATACCGTTCAACATGCAGGAGGGCTATCTGTGTCCTCAACTTATTGAGCATGGTGTACAACGGACCTGAGCCCACTAGAAGCAATTTCCTGGCCACTGCTTCAGAGGTGGCAGCGCCATCTGGGGAAGTGGGAGTGGGAAAGTGGCACTATAGGTGACAATCAAGTGGCACCTCGTGTCAGGCTGGCCCAGAGAGTAGCTGTGAATTAACCTTAGAGTTGACAGCAGGACACGGAGGCAGGCTGTCTCAGACCACCCAGAGGGGACAAATGGGGAGCAAAGGGAAACACAGGGATGTGGCAGGACAGCTGTTGGCCAGGCTGTTGTCTGGCCATCAGGGGAGAAGGAGGAGAGGCAGGGGTTTCTCCTTTCTCTGACTGCTTCAGAAGTGGGCATCTGCATAAGCCCCAGCATGGCTACCTCAGGGAGTCTGGATAGAAGCCTGCTGCACTCTAGCACTCTGCCTCTCTCCCCAATCCCCGGGGTTGGAAGCCAGGCTGGAGATGTTCTTGAGGATGCCCATACCCACCAGAGGCGAGGTCTGCAACTACCGTGCCCTGTGTGTCCCACTCTGGCCTGAGGTCTCAGCTTCCCTCCCTGAGCTCTGCCTCACTCCTCGCTCTCCCTGCCTCAGTTGCTTCCCCTCTCTGTTCTTCTTTGCTGAGCTCAGCCACAACCTGTGCAGGTGTCTACATGTCTGCTGGTGCCTGTATCTGTCTCTCTCTCTCCTCTGCCTCCCTCACTAGCTGGGTTCCCCCACTCCGTATGTGTGTGTGTGTAATTTTTCACCTTCTTTCTCTTTCTCTCTTCCGACCCTCATTTGCTTCTCCAACTCCTCTCTATTGTCTATTCCCCTCCTTTGTTGTCACGACAGCAGTGAGTGTTTTAGCTGTACTATTTCTCTTTTTAAGTAATTGTATTCTTCTTAAATAATAATATTTTTCAAAACATTTTTATATTCACTAACCCCAAAAAGTTCCTTTTGGATTCTGCATGTCCCTGTTCTTTTTGTTCTTGCCCAGTACATCTTTGTGAGGACAGTTTGTATTCTTTAAAGATTTTTATTCTACTTTTCATCAGTTCTTCTCCCTCTAGCACAACTTTCCCCATCCCTCCTCCTTTTCCTCATGCCACCATTCTTCTGATCTGACCCAGCTTATGCCTGCAGGTCATGTCTCCCTGTCTGTTACTTTCAGCTCTCTCAAACACTGTGACTACCTGCGGGGGGTTAACCTCTAAATTGTCACTTGTTCAGGTGAGTTTGGGAGTGAGAGGTGCATGATTCATTTGCCCTGGTCCCTGAAGCATCACTGCAGCCATTCTGAGCTCACAACTTCAGCCACAGAACTTCTCCCTGGGCAGCTGTTTGCCATGTAATTAGGAGCAAGTACATTGGTAACCCTACCATGTAGCAGCTGTCCCAGGAACACAGGGATGTCACAACATCTTAAAGTTTGTAACACCTTTTGATGCTGAATGCAGTCAACCAATCTGTTCTTACAGCTGTGTTCCTTCTCCCTGGACCCTCCCGGAGTCCCTCCCGGGCGTCTCTCCATCTCTCCTCTCAACATCATGACTCTGCATCTCTCTGCCGGCTGCTTCCTTCTCCCTGGCTCTCCGTGCCTGTCTCTGTGGCTGCTTTACTCTGTGTCTCCTTGTTTCCTTCTTACCCTTCCAGTTCCTTCTCTCTGTTTCTCTTTGCACCTGTGTCTTCCCATGGCCCTCTGAGTCCCTTCATTCCTACATGATCTTGTGCCCTCTGTGGGTTTTGAACCCCACCTCCATGCTAAACCCCTGCTTACCTGTCCGAGTCTCTTACCGGGCAAGAGTCCTTGTGGCCCTCACCACCAGCACAGAACATACTGTCATGGTAGGATTCCTCATACACTGCTTTACAGTACTCCTCCAGCACCACTGGAATATGCACACACTGCAGACTGTCAGGGTACTGGCCTGAAAGAAAGGACGCAGGGTCAGAAACACTCCTGGGCAGAGACAGCCAGAGGTATCTGTGAGTCCAGAGATAGGAACACCAAAACTCTCCATCCAATAACCGACCCCAGCCAGAAACCGAGCACATGGTTCCAGTTTCCGGACATTTGGAGGCAATGTGGATGGTCTGGATGGTCTCTGATAACCCAACTGGTTTGCTCAACTTGATGAGCATGAGGTCATGGTCTCTCCAAGGTACAGTGTAGTATGGGTGCTGCACAGAGAAAATGGCCTCAGTCATCTGGCTGCCTGTTTCATACCATTGGTGAACTCTGTGCAGGCCCAGTCCAATGGTGTAGGACCTGAGGGCAATGAAAGTCAGTACCATAGTAACAAATCCTTTTTTCAGGCCAAACTCCAGTGCAGGCCCACATCCCATACTAGCCTCTCCCCCAACTCATCCTCAATGTCAGTCCTTTTGGAGACCACTAGAAAGTGGCTCTGAGCAGGATTTCATATTCACCAATTGGCTTTCCATGTTTACTTGTGAGTTGTCTGAAGCTTAGGCACCCTGTCTGGGGATGGGCAGTGGACTCATAGTAAGTAAACCTCTATGAGTCACTGGTCACTGCTGAGGCCTGTATTGGCCATGAAGCTGTGACACTTCCAAGGACATGATAAGACCACAGCTGAGAGCATGTGGCCCCACCTCTAATTAACCACAAGGAGACTGCAGCTGCAGGCTCCACACTCGTACAATAAAACCAACCTAAAAATGAGGTAGTTCTCCTGATTGACATAATTTACTATTGGGAAAATTCTCCTAAGGTCCTGCTGGATTCCCATGTTTTCTTGAGTATCCTCCTCCTTTGTTTGAAAACCAGATAAATACGGGCTGCCCAGACATCTGGGTCTAAACTCAGAATATCGCGCAGTGCAGCGAGGGGCCGCCCCTCCTCCCTTATTGGTAAACCCGATAAATACGGGCTGCCCAGAGAAGTCTTTTTCTCAAACCAGAGAATATCTAAGCTGTAAGATAGATCCTCCTGGGGCCCTGAAATCATTTCAGTTCTCTCATTTATTTAAACCTTCTCTGACCACTTGCTTGGGAGATTGCAAGCCTGATCAACCTGCAAAAACTAAGGGTTTTTTTTAACTTGATAAATCCCATCCCCTTTCCCATTCCTACCCTCCACCCAACCCAGACCCATCCCTGGTGCCAGCCTCATCCCTACTTTGACTGCATCCAAATCCCATCCTGATGCCCATTCCCTACTTAGCCCCCGATCCCAACTATTAGGGTTGAGGTAAGAGAAGCATTGTCTAAGGTGTTAATTGGGGGAGCCACTAATGTAGAAAAAGCAAGATCAATAGTGTATCAGTATAGTATTTTTAAATTCAAAATTAATGCAAAAATTCCATGATGCATAAAATATCAGGAATTGAAGAGAGATAGCATTTGAGGTGCATGTTGCCCTTGCCACACACCTGCAGGATCCTGTTTATTTCAAATGTGGATATTCTGTTCGTCACGGAGGTTTGCATTTGTCTTAATTTGTTTAAAAGAAGACATTAAGATATTTCTCCCAACGGGGGAGCTTTTGCCTCATCTCTCCCTATGCCCTGTCCTGCAGCCAAGTAAATAAATCCGACCCCATCCACCTTGTTCTGTCCTCACCTGTCCCCTCGCCTTGCCCCAGGCCTCTTGCACCCGGTGACAAGAGGTCCCTTGTCCACACCACCTGGCTCTTAGAGGCTGAACTGAGATCCAAGCCCGCCTCGCTCAAGCCATCTCCTCCTCTCCACTTTCATACTGGAGTCAACCCCAGGGTCCTTCGTGGTTTCTCTTCCCACATGCAGGACCTTTAGACCCAGCAAAGATATGTGAATGTTCCTCCAGCCTGGGGAAGAGGACCTCCCAGCCAGGCCTCCCCTTGACTGTAGCTCCAGCCTTGCTTCAGGCCTAGAGTTTCAAAGTCTCATCTCTGGTCATGTGCAGCCTCTGATGCAGGAGCTCACTCCCTGGCCCAGGCCCTCTGCAGTGTTGGATCCCCACCCTGGGCCGAGACTTTCCCTCTCTGCTCAAACCCAGCCTGGGCTCTGCCCCTCACAGCAGTGCAGTTTCAGACCCTAAGCCTTGCCCACCGTGCCCCACCCAAGAGAAGACCCACCCAGGCCCACCCTGTGTAGTTTTCTCCCCCCACAGCCCACAGTCACCACCCTCTGCACTTGCTCACCTCCTCCAGCAGTGTGCAGCTGACAGCACCCACTTTCGATGCACCATGACTCCGGAGCAGTGCAAAGAGCCATTGTGGAACAGGGCCACCTGCCAGGGCTTCGAGTGTGGAATGCATTCAAAGCCACCAGAGATGCTGACCTGGTACAGCCCATCTCGGAAGTGACTGCTGTTTACTTTGGGAGGAATTTCAGCTTCTTCAGGCACGATGAGCACAGAGTGGATCCCATGGGTGGGTGGGGTCTGGTGGGATGCAGTATTTGATCCGGTAGAGGATGGGTTGGTCAGGGTTAGGAAGGCACAGGTTATATGAGGAGTGACAAGCAAGGGCAAGGTCTGAGGCTCCACCTCTGGGGTTCAAGCAGGACAGATCCAAGGCTAGACACCTCCTCTGAGCATGAGGCTTTATGCTGTGCTCCAGCACTCTGGTGGCATAGACCAAGTGTCACCACAGAGGTGACTCCTCTGTGTCAAGTAGAGGACAGAGGTCACCTTGCCTTGGATAATGTCTGCTGGACACACAGAAGGGACAGCGGGACACAGAGTGGACAGCAGGGCACAGAGAACAGTCCCTCAGGGAATACTTCTCACCCTGCCTGGACCCCAGCCCTCTGCAGGGCAGATTCTCCAGGGGCTCAGGAGCAGTGACCTCCACAGGGAAGGAAGCAGCTGCCACACTTCTCTGCCAGCTGGGGTAGGAGGTCCATGCAGAGTGCTGTCCCTCTACTAATTACAGCTAACATCTAGACACTCACCTATGGGCCAGAGTCTGGGGAGGACCTGCCTTTATACTGTAGTCTCTAACCTGCTTTCAGATTACCGTGGGAGGTGGGGATACTGAGGCACAGAGACATTAGATCTTTGCCCAGGTAAGAAATAGCAGAGCTGGGCTCTGAATCCAGTCGCTGTCTCTCCACAAGCTGTGTTTCTACCCTGGTGCCATGCAGACCCCCAGGGAGCCTATGGGTGGGGCAGGATGACACATTTTGAGTGCACAAAGGCTAGCATGCACCCTGAACTCAGATACCTATGGCTGTCTGGATGATGCATCCCAGGGAACAGAGCCAGAGGGCTTCTGCTGTGGTCCCCATGTCAGCACCTGTTGGGGAGGAGACTCGGTGAGTCTGGGACTTCCCGCACCATTCCAGGAGCAGTTAGACAGGATCCTGTCCAGCCTGGACTCTGAAGGCAGAGTTTGTCACCCTTTGCATTGCTGATATTTATCCATGCTCCTTTGGGTATGGACCCAGGACACCTCCATCCCCCAAGGCACAGATCCATCATCCTGCCCACTGATGATGGGGCTGGTGAGCCTTTGTGCAGGGCCCTGGTTGTGAACTGCAGGGTGTTTTACACCCCGTGCCAGCTGCTGTCCCCCACCCCACCCATAGGGACAACCAAAAGGCCCATTCTTCTTCCAGGTCCTGGAAGAAGACAGTGTGAGCTCTACCTGTGAGGACACACGAGGCAGGGAGACTGAGGAATGAGGGGCAGTTAGGGACAGGGACAGAGACAGAGATGCCACGATTGAGGCTGAACCCCAGAGCAGGTAAGATGGGGCCCAGACACAGAAGTCTCAGGGTCATGAAGCTGAAGGAGACTGAGATGGAAATCAAGGTGCTCTCAGTGCAGTTTCAGGCGCAGCCCTGTGCCAGGCATCGCACTAGCAGGAGACACGTGGTGACTCACTCTCACAGCCATCTCAGGTGCCAGGTCCTGATATGATCCCCATACCACAGAGGGTGCAGACACAGACAGGCTGAGTAACAAGTGGAGAGGGCACTAGAGTCTTTGCTCTTAAAACCTCCCTGGGAATGGGCCCAGTGGCACTGCCTGTAATCCCAGTGCTCTGGAGGCAGAAGGATCTCAAAACCCTAGCTGTACACTGAGTCAAAGCAATGGTCTGAGGCAGAGAGGGAGACACATACCCAGCAGGACAGAGACAAGGAAGAGACTGTTGGGAACCACTGGAGCTGGTTATTGGTCAAGCAGTCAAACTACCTCAGTATTGAAGAAGGTATCCTGCTGGACAATTACAGTCATTAGTTGCTAGGCAACATTACCCCCCCATGATACTAATTTGCAAGTGTATAAAATAAACGCCCCTACTGTTGAAGTCAGTCCTCCTGCTCATCAGGTAAGAGGTAATTCCACCTGACCCGTGCTCTTGTCTCTTGTCTTTATTTTTTTCATTTATTTTCTCTTTATTTTTCTCAATCTATGTCTTTGCCGTTTCTCTCTGGGGTACAATGAGAGACTAACGAGGTACACTACAGGAGACAGGAACTCAAAGGGTTGGAAGCACAGAGCAAGCCTTGTGCTGGGAGAACGCAGGGTTGTTCACCTGGCTTCACCTACTGGGGTTTAGGGCTCGGCTATCCTGTGTGGGCTTTGATCTGTGGGCTGCTGACTCTCAGAGGCATTGTAGGTCTTGTAAGGATCTGAATGGGGGCTGGCCTGCCCTGGGCTCTAACATTAGAGCCTGAAGGGGGAAATGTTGGAATCACCTGTTACCTCCCTAGATACATGGCCTGTGGCTTTCCTGCTTCTAAACAGATCATGGCACAGAGAGCAGGGCTCTGGGCAGTGAGGAAGAAGGGGAGTGTGAGGAGGGACCCTGAAGGAAGTGTCTGCCTCTGGCCAGTCTCTCAATCTCTCTGTCTCTCAGTTCTGATGCCTCCAATGCACTGCTCTTTGCTACCCTGAGCCTTCTTGTCTCATGTACATTCTGCTTTGGATTCTTTGCCTTTGAAGTTTTTTCCTGTGTATTAAATCTACTTTAAGTTAAGCAAATATACATGAAATCAAGACAGTCTATGTCTTTGTGTGTGTGTGGTCCTGCAGATTGACCCCAGCATCTTCTCACTGAACTCCATCCCAAAGCATCTTTCTTAAATTTTAGAGTCAGAGTCTGGTTACGTCAACAAGTTGCCCACACTGGGCTCAAACTTGAGATGCTCCTGCCTCAGATTCCCAGAGAGCTGGGATTACAGGTGTGAGGTACCACACTGTGTATTTTTCTCTCCTAGGCATCTACCTGTCATGGTGTGCATACCGTACCCTCGGATCCAAGCCACACCAGATCCTTAATTTTGGAACCCACCCCAGACAGGTTTGTACCTGCCTCAGGCTGTTAACTAGCTGTTTCTTTTGCCTGATGTCACCCTTGGTCATCTTATTATTCCTCTAATAAAAATTGATCT